TCCTTCCTGCCCATGGCAGGTGGTCGGACTAGATGATCTGTCTAAGTCCCTTCCAACTCATTGATTCTATGATTCTATATATATTGATTTTGACCTGGAAGGCTACAAGAATACTTTATAAACAGCTGCTATACAAATGAAATATTTTACCCACCACTGAAATGCAGCAACCTCCGGTGTAAAATACAAAGTTCTATTTAACAGCACAAAGTAACACCCCCACAATGGTTAATAGTAAAAAATATTTTTTTCCATTGGAAACAGTATCTGAAACTTTAGTTTGTGCAGATTATAACTATCCAAATAATTATGAGGACAGGACACCTGGGTTAAAATTCCAGTTCTTACAAACATACCATAACTTGGATTTTTAAAGTGGTCAAAACCTAAATATTGCATTTCATCCAAAAGACAGCATCTCTTTAAGCAAAAAATCCTATAATAGGCTTGGGAAACTGACACAGAACTGAGTTGCAAAGGAAAAGAGTGTCATCATCACCACCCTTCGTACAGCACATGCATGTCTAACTCGATTCAATAGTGACTTAGAAAGGGAAACACCTGCTGCAATACCACCACCGCCACTTGCAGCCCTTGAGCATTCCTCTGAAACCTTATGCCCAAGTTTAACCCTGGTGGAACATGCATCTCAACATCCCAACTGGACAAAATGTCCAATACAGACAAATACTGAAAAACAGCAGCTGGTTGAAGTAGAACCAAGTTTAAAATGAGTCACATTTCACAGTGCTTGAAAACCTGAACCACACCCAATGATAGAGCTGTTCCACCTACATTCCTGTTCTCACTAGTGCTTCTCAATTTCTTCTTGCAGTAGAAACCCAGGGTAAGTGAAGAAAACCGTTTGCACTGCACTAGGCACATGTCAGGAAGAGGTTCCTTCCTGTTTTTACCCTGGTATAACTGCCTGAGTGTATTGCATGTACAGTGGTGACACTCATCTTTCTCTGAAACATTAACCCTGAGCAAATGCTGGAGGCAGAGATAACAGATTCAATGGATCACTGACCTGATCCAGACTACTCTACCCACTTAAAGGAAATAAGCTAAAGGAGAAAGGTTCAAGAATTCAAGATTCAATCCAGAAAAAAAAGCAACATCCTCCACACACCATGAATCCCAGAGGCAGGGTTCAAGCATGATAGAGAAACTTACAGAGATTTGACAGGACTGGATAAACATCAGGTTAAATTTGTAAGGCACAACCGTTTCCTGGAGAAGAGAAACTAGCCCAACATACAGCTAAGAATCATAAAGGGGTCAGCTGGGTGGGACCTCCAGAGATCTAGTCCAGCCGTTCTCAAATTCTGACAGATTGCGCACCGCTAATTTAAAATGATACAACCTTCAGTACCACTGGCACATTTTTCAGTTCAACCTTATATACCACTAGCGAATTTTTTGTCAGGTAAAGTAATGATAATAAATCTGTTAACGCATACCGCTGACAGGTGGTCTGCATATCACTGGTGGCACCTGTACCACAGATTGGGAAACGCTCATCTGGTCCAAACCCCACCTGACGCATGCTCAGTCCTGCCCAAACCACCTATATATACCATCCACCATCTCAACCCCACAACCCTAACACTACATGAGGCAACTCCTGAATCTGCTTCATATCCCGAAGGCCCAGGAAGGCCCAAGGGAGAGACTTGGGCAGGCAGGGCCAAGATACGCTACACAGATCCCAGGCAAAGGCAGGGCTGTGTCCCCTCACGAGCCCACTGCCGTGAAGCAGGATCAGGCCTGGGTGTCCCCCGAACTCAGCCCTGCCTTTCTCCTGACAACAAATACGGCATATTTCCTTCAGGACCTGGAGGCATTTTGCCAGCAACCCCCTTGCTGGCAAAGGCTCAGTGACAGGTGCCTTTTCCTAAACAAGAGGCAGGGAGCAGGGGGCGGCCAGAGTCCCCGCGCCAGGAGAGGCCCAAAGAGTGGACCGAGGCTGAAACCACTCCAGGCTACGGGAAGAAGGGAGCAGGCGGCGCGCATGCGCACGCACGGGTGAGGGGAAGGGAAGGACGTAGCACATGCGCACGGGGCAAGGGAAGGGAAGGCGTGCATGCGCACGCGAGGGGGGAAGGCGACGCGCATGCGCACGCGCGCGGGGGCGGGCACCGCCTGCTTGGTGCTTGGTGCCGGGCGGAGCCTGCCCCCGCTGACGTGGCGGCCATGGCGGACGGCGGTAGCCGGCAGAGCAAGCTGGCCGCGGCCAAGAAGAAGGTAACGCCCCCCCCCACCCCGGCCCCCTCCTCGGGTAGCCGGGCCGGTGACCTTGGCCGAGCGGGCGGGGCCGCACCAGCCCCTGCCCCCGCGGCGGCTGTCACCGGGCCCTTCCTTCCCCCTCCCCCCATTTAAACCTCTCTGCCTCGGGCCACCTCGGCCTCCCCCCCGGGCCTGGCCCCCGGGTGACGCGCCTCCCCCGCAGCTGAAGGAGTACCAGCAGAAGAACAGCCCCGGGCCCGCGGCCGCGGCCAAGAAGAAGCGCAAGAACAAGGAGGGCAGCCGGCCCGACACGCCGACCAGCGCCGACGACAGGGACAGGCCGTCGCCCGAGAACGTGAGTGTCCTGCGCTCGCCTGGTCGTGGGGCGACGCACACCGGTGACGGGTGGGGTCCACAACCCGCAGCTACTAATGGGACCTGGCACCATGGGCTGGGGCTAGGTCTGCGGTGAAGCCGTTCTTGACCCCAGATCAGGCATTGTGGATTTCATAGACATTAGGGGCTGGAAGGGACCTTGTGAGATCGAGTCCAGCCCCCCCCCACCCTGCCATGGGCAGGAAGTCAGCTGGGATCAAGTGACCCCAGCAAGAAAAACATCGACATGGATGTGAGGGGTCAGGGCATGTGAGCAATGAAAGGACTGGGCTTGTTTGGCCTGGAGAAGGAAGTTGAGGGGTGAGAGCTGCCTTTGACACTCTGAAGTGGGGGTAACAAAGAGGATGGCGGTTCTCAGGGGTGGCAGATGACAGGATGAGGAGCGAGGGTCTCAAATTGCAGCAAGGGATGTTCAGGTTAGTGATGATGAAACACTTTGTCACTAGGAGAGTGGTGAAGCACTGGAACAGGCTACCCAGAGAGGTGGTCTAATCTCCATCCTTAGAGATTTTGAAGACCCAGGTAGACAAAGCCGTGGCTGGGATGATGTAGTTGGGGTTGGTTCTGCTTTGAGCCGGGGGTTCGACTACATCTGACCTCCTGAGGTCCCTTCCAGTCCTCATTTTCTATAATTGATCCTATGTTTCAACATCCATTTCGGTAAAGGGAGAGTGAATGCAAGGTCCTGTGGTTGCAGCCACCCTTTGATTGGTGTCTCACTCTGTCTTTCTGAGCCATTTCTCTTTCCACTTTCTTTCACTTCCTTTAGATTCAGAACATACTGAAGGTGCTGGTGTCAGACCTTAATCGATCCAATGGGGTAGCCATACCCTCATTGGACAAGAGGAAGGTGAGGCAGTGTTCGGCATCCCTCTGACTAGTTTGCTGTCCTTACTGCATGCTTCAAGTTCTCTTTAAACTGCCTCTTGATTTTTTTTGGTTGAAGCTTCATTCTGGCATATTTGTTGTCAGTTGCTTGAGTTTTGTTTTCATTAACCTTGAGCTTTTTTTTTTCCTTTTAATGTGCCTCTTTGTTGCTCCTACTTGTGTGTTTCCTTCTGATTTGTGTCAAGTTTAAAGATGTGAACTGTACCAGCTTCCCTTAAGATAGACTTGTGAGATCAGGCAATTTAGAATTGTATGGGGGATCCTGGGTAATGGTATGAGTAGTAAACACCTCGCCACTCCTTTTCCCCATACACTTTGTTCCCACAAAGATGCGTCATGGGGCATATAAAAGCATTGTTCAAACTGGGCCACAGGCTGGGTTTATTTTCTAGATCTGTGATCTTCGTGTTTGCATGTCGCTGTTTTATTTATTAGTGCCTCATCTCTGAAGTACATGTTCTTGCTCATCTCTAATTGTGCAGTTGCCCTAAGTAAACTGTGTAGTTATTCCAGACAGCCGATTTTTGTGACAGGTGATGAAATTTGCACACCTGATGCAATCTGGCAAGTAGCATGGTTTTAAATATGTCTAGGCAGGAAGTCAGATATTTTGTAGCAAGTGTTAACTAGCTCTAATGTCTTCATATTGCCTGTAGTTCTGGCAGCAAAGGGACTGGGAAGATTCTTATCTGTAATAAAATACAAGTATGAGAGAGCAAGCTTCTACCAGCCTTTTATTTTCAACATGTTTCATAAAAGTAGTCTCATAAATTAAAGAAGGCGAAAATGTTGATAGAAACACAGAAAATGCAAAATAAAACATGATGATTCAGGAAGTACTTAGTGTTCTTGCTTTCCTAAAACCTCAATTACCTATTAACTTGTATAGTGTCCACAACTCTCTTCACCTTAAGCTTTCAAGTCCAGCATGTCATTATACCTGCCTTGCATCCTTTTCTTTTTGTTCCACCCATAGACATAACTATGTTAATCACCAGGTGGAGTAGAGCTACTCTGCTGTGAAACCTGCATGATGTGATAGATAAAATAAGACTTTCACTAGTTTTCCTTGCATATTAATGCAGCAGCTCTCCCATCAGAGACTTACAGTGCCTGGCACAAAGCTCTTGCAGGTGGGGTATTTCTGTGGGATGTTATATGGGAGAGCATGGTAGGAGCACTTGACAGGTGCTTTCCTGTGAGGTTGAATGCAGCATGTTAGAAGTATAATTTATATTAAGTTTATCAGATGGACACATCAGAAAGAGAATTGATGTTTGTTCGAGGACAGGTTGAGGTAAGATGTACTAATAATTTTTCTGTCAGTGGCTAATCTCAAAATGAGGGCCTAATCCATACCTGCCGTGTTTGTGCTATTGTGAATATGGAAATGTTACTCTTCCATTAGTCTTCATGTCCCAAATGCCTTTCTCTGCTTTCTTTGCATGCACCAGTGCATTTTGGACTGAGTAGCTGTTACAGATTTTCCTCCTGGAGGCTGCAGATAATGATGCCCAGGGCCTCAGACTGATTTTCAAGTTGTTCTCGAAGTGTAGTCTGTAATGAGAGAGAATTTCTCTTCTCAGTTGTCTTGCTGGTAGAACTCCTGAGTCAGGGAATGCTGCTTTAAACACTCACCCAATGCTAATAGGCAGAAAAGCTGAATGCTGGCATCTGAGCTAATGCCTTCATTGGTGCCTTAACACAGGCAGGCAAATCCTTCCCATCTCATCTGCTGTAGCTTTCTGGTTGTCAAAGGGGGAGAACACCTGACAAACGAGGAAACTTTAAGAAAAAGCAAATGGCCGCTGGTATATATTGGGCTGGACTGAGTCATTAGCTTCTTTGGGTTATTAGCATTTCACAACTGTAGTTGGTTGAATTGCTGTGTTAGAATTTCTGACAAATTCCTTGGTGCCCCTTCCCTTCCCTTTTCCCCTCCCTGCAAATTAGGTCTTCAAGCTGCTTTCACTTTAGAGGTCTTTTTTTTTTTTTTACAAGGAATCTTTTTTTGTGTGACCATCTTTTCAGGACAACCATTACACATTTTAGCATGATGCATTAGATACGTGTAGAGAGAGTTTCAAGGTAGGATATTACCAACTTAATTTAATATATTTTATTGATATGATGGGGGGGATCCCTTCTATCCACTTTCTGCTCTATTGTGTTGATTTTTCTGAGCCAATATTAGAGTGAGGAAACCTGAGAGAGGATGCAGTGGGAAGGGGTTGAGCAAGGAACATTCAATATATATTGATCCCTGCCAGCAAGAACCTGCCTTGCTAAAAAAGACTTCTAAACATTCCAATTTTTCTTGTCAGTTTAGTTCAGGCATTCTCTAATTGTTGTTTTGAAATCTGTCTTCAGAGTTGGCTGCCTGACTCGCATAAGAAGTGGTGAGCAAGTGAACAGGTGACACCCAGACCCCCTCTCTGCCCCTCCAAACAGTTGGGAAGGAGGAAGAGAGGACATAAATGCTTTGGATTCCCTCTGAACAGTCAGGATCTAGGCTAGAATAAGAGAAGACATGGTATTAAATTAACTTGTAGAGAGCCACAGAATCTTGCTAAGACTATTTATTGATGGTCTGCTTTAATGTTTGCTTTGTAATGTCAGTACGTATTGATAGCTCTGGCTGGGGTAATATTATGACAGGGATTGCCAGGCTGCCAGAGTGCACAGAAAATGGAAAAAAAAAATCACAAAGTCCCAGTAAGGTTGAAGATCAGGCAGATGAGGGACTGTCTAGTTGCTCTGTGACTCAATAGTAGATAGTGGTTGATCATACCCATCCCCAAAATGGTACATTTATTTGTCTGCAGTGATGCAAAGATAACATTTTTAACTCTCATGTAGACCAAACTCATTCACAGCAGGAGTGGTATCGGCTCCTTTTGATTCCATTAGGGGGTCACACCTGCTTATCTCGAGAGCTGAATTTGGTGTTTTGATTTATAATGCTCTGTATCTTGGTGTCAAACCCTCTTCAGTTCACAGCAATTCTCAATTTCAGTAAAGAGGGTGAGGGGAAAAGGGGTGCTTGAATTGAACTAACCGAGTACTTGATTAGTTATTAACCCATTCTTTTCATCTTATTTTGCATCTGTTGATCAGTGTTTTCCCCAGTGGCAGAATGAAGATGGTGCTTTGCAAAGCAGAGAGAATAGATTTGGCATTGATCTTGCCCTGCCTGCTTTAGTTCCCTTGTAGCATATATAGCAGTCCTGTTACTTAAGCATATGGTAAAATTACTGTCCTAGACACTAATTCTACATGAAAGCCCTCTAGGTCCCATTTGAGCTGGGGTAACGGGTGACTGTGTAGCATTCAGTGGAGAAAAATAGGTTGAATTGACCTGTTTGCTCTGGGGAGAACACAGATTTGTTTGCCAATGCACATGTTTGTAGATAACCACAATGTTCTTGTTTTGTGCACAGAAATCTTGTAAGGGTGTGTTTCTCTCTCCACTCGTTCAGCATGTAGCTGTAATCCCTGTGATATGTTTTGTGACAGGCATACTTTGACAGTGATGTTACCGTTCATAATGCTGAACAGCTGGCTGCCGATGTCCCTGTGTTATCTAACAGCAACAGTCTTCCTAGCTGTGGCTCTGTCACACCTGCTTCCAGTAGCATGCCATTGTCACAGGTTTGTGAGCCTTTGCGTTGACACGCTAGTGATGCTGTTTGCATTGAGCAGAAGTGTGTTTGTATTAATACATCAAGGGTCACGTGAGATTTCCAGACAAGTGTCAAATTCTCTCCTCCACTCAATCTTGGTCCAACTCTGAAAGCAAAATGAACTTTTCACCACATAAGGAAACTTATCCTGTGCTCCTTCCTTCCCCCATCTCAGTTAGTAAGGAGCATCCCTAAGAAAACAGGTGATTCCTCAGAAGGAGTAGGTCTCTGTTCTTTAAAGAATTTGAGAATTAAGTTTCAGCTCTTTAGGAAGGCACTATGTTTTTGCCACTAAAGACTTTGAACTGACCTGGCTTAATATATCACTTGTAAATGCTCAACATCTTTTCTGGAGGTCTCAGAATAAGCAGAAATGATCTACAACCTGGACCTGACTTGGGATGTGCTATAAATATTCAAGTTATATTTGAATGGATTACAGTAAAGGCAGAGGTTGTCTAATGCAAACTTTGGGGTGCTCAGGTATGTTTCTGTTACAGTCTTGTGATTCTTCTGTCTTACTCCACAGATACATGATGCTGATGGTCATAAAAATGCGTTGGATGAAAACAGGTGTGTGTGTGTTACCTTTTGTTTAATAAAAGGCACCTATAATAGGGCTCAAAAGGGGATGACAAAGGTGTTTGCTATCAAAATGCCTCTTGCGCTAGTTTGACCAGTTCCCGAATAGACCCTGTAAAACAACATGCTATCTTTTTTCTGTTTGTAGGTCCCTGTCTTCAACAGAGAGTCTTCGCCAGCTGTCTGAGCAGCTCAATGGCTTGGTCTCTCAGGTTTGGCCTCATTAACAGGATAAATGGAATGCAATTTCTTCTAAATTTCAGAAGTGGGGGTTTAAGTAGCCAGCTCAGGAATGTTCTCATCAGTCCCAGAGTTCTTTGCAGCCAACCCACTAAACAGTAAGACTTTTAAACCCTGAAAAGTAGAAACTATTGTCGTAGGAATGTGAAACTCCACCAGTAGGAAGAGAACCAGAGTGGGAGGGGGTAGCAGCTTATGTCCATGAAACACACTCTCTTAATTCATGGCAATAAATCTAAAGTATGTGGTCTGCACATTTCATGTAGGACCATTTCTGGATGTGATTGTACATAGAGATCTGTACAGGTTGCATACCTTTACCCAGATAAATAGATATTATTTGCTTTTGGTTGGTGCCTTGATAATCCTCAAGAGAAGGGCACGGTATAAATAATAGTATACTATTGGGGGTATGGAAGGTCATCTCCTATTTTGTATTGATAAATAAAACAGTTATTTTGTATGTCAATTTTTCTTGTAGTCCACATCCTATGTGAATGGGGAAAGTGGTGTTTCTTCCACAAATATAAAGGAAATGGAAGTAAGTCCTGCTTAGTCTGATATTTTTTTTTCTCATTCACTGGGTTAGCACCTTTACCAATTACACAGTGGGACCATCACTGTAATGATGTTGAGACCTATTTGTTGCCCTGTTCATGCATAACTACCACATCGGAGGGCAGTTGGAGACAGGCATCTGTGGAAACTTCCAGCTGGAGGGTTGGAACTAATAAGACCTTCTGAACGCAGCTAGTACTCTCAGTATTTTTTAAATGAGATTCAGGCCTTAAACAAATATATAAAACATCTTGATATCTGATTCAAACTTGTTGAAAGCTCAGTATATTTGGGGGAAATCCAAATCAGATTCAAAACTGTGATATTGATTTACTTTCTGTCCTTTTTAATTATTTCCTTTTTTTCCCTCCTCCTCTGCCCCTCTACCTTCTCCTCCACCTGTCTGCATGCGCCCATCAGACACGTTACCAGGAGCTGGCAGTAGCCCTAGATTCCAGCAATCTAACTAACAAACAGCTCAATACAAAGATAGAGGAATTGGTAAGAAACAATCCAGCCAACCAATTTGACATTGTCTTTGCTCCTCCATGCTCTCTGGGTGTCTGCAAGGTTATGGGTTCTTTTACAGTGCCACAAAAGAAGCTACTTGCACAGCATTTTTCAGGGAACAAAGTGGATTTTATGGGAACACCCAGTCAGATGATGAAAAGTCAGATTAAAAGAAGACTCCTAAATGTATTGGCCTGTATGATGGAAATGAAATAACATGAAATAAGATCCATACAATATTGATCTCTTCATATTTTGCCAGGGTGGCTAGCTTCATGATAAAACAACTAATGCTGGATCTGATCTGCACTCACCAAACTCAGTAGAAGCAAAATCTTGTCCACAGGCAGTACCCTGAAAATCTGTAATTTATCTGGTTGATCTTTCTGTTATTACTTTGTCTGCAGAATGGGAGTAAGGGGGTTTAGGAGATAGCCCAGGGGCTTGTGTCTGATCATTATCTCAGCATCTGTGGCACTATGAATGAACTGTTGCATTCCGCGGCCTGCTTGAATTATTGCTGCTGCTTTTTTACGCTCTTGCTTGAATACTTCAAGAAATGCCTGCACAATCTGAAAAGAAATACTCTTGATCTGAAATGGTTTTCCCTTGGCTTGTTTCCCACCACTTTTGCCTCTGAAGTACAGGACTGTCCTATGTATCCTATCACCCCTTTTGTTTTGCTCCATTATTTTGTTCTTCTCCCCTTCTTCCCTCCACTGCATCCTCATTTCTCTTGTAGTATTGAGGCTGACCTGTAGAGGCACCTTGTATTGGAGCATTGATCACCAGTGGCTACCTACTTCTGGACAGGTGTATGAAGTGGTCTGTTGCCTGGAGTTTTACACAGGGCCTATCCTACTTGCTTTGGTCTAGTGGTGGCGCTATGATCAAAGCCTCTTATAATTTATCTCCAATACTGCCACTTTCCTAAATTGTGTTTTTCAGTAGGATTGCAGGGAAGTACTTGATCAGTGTTCATTCTTTGTGGGGGAGTAGTAGCTATGTTGCTGGCAACGAGGGGACTCTGAAACTGCTGTGGCAAAGACACAGGTGGCCACCAACAGCAAACAGGAACATTGCTGAATAAAGCAGATTTGTGGTTGTTCCTGTGGCTGGTAGCATAGCCTGGTGCAGAGTCTCTGTTACCCCTCTTTTTCTTCATATCACGTGCACACCCGTGGGTTAGCACACCCAGCTTTCTGCTCACTTCAGCCATGTCTCACAGGAAATTAAAGTATATTGCGACAGGATTGTATACACTGGCCCTTGCTGTGTATTTTGACTTCAGTCCTGTAATCTGTTCCATGTGACCAAAATCCCATGCCCTTTGCAGAACCCTGTCAACTTAACTAGGACTCTGCATGGCATAAAGGTTCATCTTTATGCTGGATCATGGTTTTGACATATTGTCAATGGTATGCTTAAAGTTTCACCTAAGGGAAAGTAGGAGGGAATACATTCTTTTTAATAGGATTCTAATATATTGTTGGGGCATATCAAATATTACAATGATAAAAACCTTAGAATGTAGGATGCAAGTTTAATGTAAGGTGGTGTGTAGCTCAAATATAAGAATTCATGGTTCTGTTACCTTATTAACATTTTTATTGTGAAATGTGGCAGTTCTGTTGAGGACTGAAAAGTATATCCAGAACTGGATAGCACGTGTCACTACATCTGTATGCCAGTAGTCCAAAGTCTATTATTTTTAATAGTTAAAACAACCTGTCTTTGTAGAAAATGTCAGAATGGTTTAATAGAATTCCTGTTTGCATTTGCTACACATATGTATCGCAAGCATCTGGTTAAGATGGCAAATGCATTTACAGATTGGAGCAGTATGACAAAATTGCTTAGTACTGATGCATCTGTTTTGCTCCTTCTGCAGAAACAGCAAAATCAAGAGGCTGTGAATCAGTTGGAGAAGGTAAAAGGCATCCCAGTAGCCGTAGTCTTAGGATAGATTTCTGTTCCCCTTGGGAGCAGAATATTCGTGATACACCCTTTTGTTGAGGAAATTGATGTAAAGAATGTGCAGGTGGCACTGCATAAATTAAAAGGGTACCTGATAGAAAGCAGAAGCATTTTTCTTGTTTGGTTAAAAACAGACTCATAAGTATAAAGCTTATATTGCTTTCCATAGACAAATGTATTTGAACAGCAAACCAAAATACTCACTTGCGTAAAAGAAAAACTGTCCATTTCAGTCTTCTTTCACAAACCTTTAATGTATGTCTGGTTAAAACTCCCTGAAAAGAAAACATTTAGTACACTATGCATTTATAATTATGTTTCTCCTTTGGTTTTTTTGATAGTGATGCAGCCCATTCCCTGACGAGTGTATCTTGGATTTTATTTCAAATTACAAAACCATATCAAGCTTCACAGCTTATTGATTTGTTTATAACTTGTACATTTCCCTCCCTCTCCTTGTCTTCCTATGATGCCATGAGTTACGGATGAGACATGATTTTAGGTTTGAATGTTCTGTCTCTTGTCCTTTATAAAAACTACTGAATGGTTTAAGCCCCCAAAATAGTTTTTTTAACTTACTTTTTAACAGCATGTAATATTAAAATAGTGTTTAATGAATTTCAAAGCTCTTCAGCGGAAATGGCTTTCTTTTAGTAGTTTGCCATCCAAACAGTGCAGCTTTGTGCTAGTGCAAGAGAATCTGTCACTGTCCAGACCACATGAAGTATGATAAATAAATGAGGCTTAAATGAAGAAAATAGTAGATTTCTAAAAATTCTTTGTATTATTTAGATGCTAATAATGCTGCAATATAATAAACCTAGTTTGTGTAATATAATTAACATTTTCCATTGAACATTTTTTAAATAAAAGTTCTGGGCTTAATGTCCACGGTTTGTTTATCCAGGAGAAGAAAGAGTTTGAACAGAAGTTTGTCAAAGAGCAAGCAGCACTAAGGGAACAGCTACAGGTAAGTCAGAACTTCTGTTTTGGTCAAGCCTCTCACTTAGCTTTCATCTGAGCTACTAATGCTGAATAGTTTTCCTTGTGAAAGCCATTGCATGTTTTCATTCATGCTTTCAGGAAAAGGCAGCCAGTCAACCAGGCTGTATGCTTAGTCTTGGATCTTATGTTAATCCTTTCTTTCTTTACTGAATTGTCCTTCTCTGACAGCTGGGGAGATATAGTGCCAAGTGAAAATGACTTACATTGAGCTGTTCTTTTTTTCCCCAAAGGTTCATATTCAGACTATTGGCATCCTAGTTTCTGAGAAATCAGAATTACAGACAGCACTAGGACATACGCAACAAGCTGCCCGGCAGAAAACAGGTAGATCAGCTTTGAACATTCAAGAAGAGGCTGGATATGTATTTTTTTTCCCTAGGATGATTTAGAACTAGCCCATTCAACATTTGAGCAAAAGATTGGACTAGATGAACTTTGAGGTCTATTCCAAACCTGATTCAGTTGGAAAAGCTGAGGATTCAAGTCATGGGCACCAATTCATTGGCAGCCAGCCTACAACACTCAGTGACTTCTTAATGAGCAATACGTGGCACAGTTATTGCATCTGTTGTCATGGCTGTACCCAGAATCACAGCACATTAATCCCATGGGAAGCACAGTTCTTTTGTATGTTGTTAAAGCTCTGTCGTGACTGTTAGGACCTGGTGATTACCCCAGGCTGTTCCTTTCTTGCCATCCTGTTGGTTGCTTTTGAGTTGAATACCACAGCAATCATGGTAAAATAAATTTGCCTGAGTGTTTCATTCTCAAATGAACTCCAGCAATTTTCTGCATTAGAAAAATAATAATAAGCACCTAATGCTTTCTTAAGGGAGTATTATTATCTCCATTTTAAAAATAAGATGAAGCACAAGGAGGTTAATTTTCCCAAAGCTGAAATGACTCAGTGGAAGAGTGAGGAACAGAACACAACTCTCTGAACTACCAGACAATGTGCTGCTTTCCTTAAAAGAGTGTAAGAATTTGCTGGGTCAGCAGAAAACATTGTTTAGTTACTTCTGTGAAGCTGTTTAGAACTTTGTTCCATGTAAGTCTGTTTTGACTTGTTCAGGAGAAGCTGAAGACCTTGCTACTCGATTGCAGTCATCTCGCCAGAGGGTATCGGAGCTGGAACGCACCCTGTCTTCCATCTCTACACAGCAGAAGCAGTCAGAAAAAGTAAGAGTTCCCTCTTCTTACACTGTCATCAGCAGTTGTCCTCTTTCCCATTTAATTTTTCATGAGACTGCTGCATATATCGCAATCTCGGAGAAGAGGGGGAGACCAGACCACAGTTTTGTACCCTCTGTCACCAAGGCAGATTTCTTTAATTTTTATACAGCTACTATTTTTTGGTCTTGGCTTCAGATCTGGCACCTTGCTTCATTTGTCTTGCCAGATTCAAACAATGAAAACCCAACCACAGCTTCTGTCCAGGAGTCCTCCATCAAAGAGACATTTGAGCATTGATGCTGATCCAGAAGCTTGCTGCAAAACCTTCTGGCTAGTTGGTGGTGTCATGTCTGAAAAGACTCTGAACAGATGAGTTCCTAGCTAGTTCAGGCTTTGTATGAAGTTTGATGGGGTGACAGACTTAGCTCCAGTGCCAGCCAACTATAGCTAAATATGAGCTTCCAAGCAAGTCCATTCTGAGGTTTCAGCCCTAGTGGCCAGGAGTATTCCTGTGAATATGAAGCTTTGGGTTTTTTAGTTCCACATTAGCTGATCAACAGAAGGTTTAATAGGCAGCTTAAATTTTTTTTTCTTTCTTTAACGTTTGGGGTTGAGTCCCTCTTTTTAATCTTTTTCCAGCATAATAAAGAGCTAGTGAAGGAACGAGACAACCTGAAATTGGAACTGTACAAGCACAGGTGAGTTCAGTTTTCTGTTACTGCAGAGCCAGCAGTGCTGAACTTTGGTAGGACTGTCTTCTCGCACTGGCTTTCCCTTCCTCTGCACAACATGACTTCATTCCAGTCACCAGAATGGACGAGTCTATAAACTAGTCACATAAACAACAGAGCCACTGGTAAAAGTAAGGATCATAGCTAGTTTATTATTTCTGTGTGTCTCTCAGCAAAGGCAGTGAGGAACTGAAGCAGCAGAACTCTGAGCTTTTGGAGAAGCTGCGCTCCCTGGTTTCTGAAAATTCAGCCATGAAACTGGATGTGGAAGATTTGCATAAGAAACTGGAAATGGCTGAGCTGATGATTCAACAGGTGACTGCAGTGTTACTGAGGAGTGGATATTCCTGATTGCGGGGTAGGGCTTGCTGTGACCTTGGGAAGTAAGTGTAGTATGCTACAAAAAAATTGATACAATCCTCATTTACCCACTGCCATATTCCAAGATGCATACAAAACTTAAGGGACAATTTTGACGTTAAAAGGTCTTAACTGTTGATTGTCAGGAGCAGGAAGCTTATTTTCAGAGGGTGTTGCAGTGGTGATTCTCTAGATACTAGCTCCTCTGGTGCATTTTATAGATCTTAGGGTAAGATTATGTAGTCTATATTATGTCACACTCTAGAATTACACCCAGTTATCACTATATTGAGCCCAGTAATTTTTTGACCAAATTATATCTTCTGGAAAAGAAAGAGGCATATTGCCAACCTATCGGAATACATTAGCCATTACTATTCCCTTCACACACCCCACAGATCTTTTCCAGAGGGCTAAGAAACCCCCAGACCCTTCCATTTCTAAACAGTGATCTTTCAGCTCAGACCATATATTTTTTTAATGTTAACTTGTGTTGAACTAGAACAGTTTGCAGAACCATAGAAATTGCCAAAAGGATCACATCAGAGGTTGCTATCAAGGAGGAGTTATAAAGAGAAAACAAGGAATGCTGGCTGTAACTTATTTGCCTCTTCTGGCAGTTTACCAATCAGTCGGGGAATCTGGATGCAAACCAGCAGCTGCAGCTGGCACTGGAAGAACGGGCAAACCTGGAAACACAGGTCACTCAGGTAAGAGATTTGAATGAAATATGGTGCTGGTCAGTATTACAACCTTTGTGCAGCAGGGCAATACTGGCTGAGGCTCTGCACTTGCACCGGTATATTTTTGTCTTCCTTCAATTGACAACTTTTCATTTCACTTAACTGATGCAGTTTTTCCTCTTCCTGAGCAGCTGTCAGAGTCGCTTCACCAGCTTCAGGCAGAAAGAGATCAGTATGTGGAGAAGTTGAAGGAGGAGGGGAGTATCTGGCAGCAACGGTTACAGCAGCTGTCTGAGCAGGTAAAAACAGCAGTGCTGTATTCTCTGTGTGCAGAGGCATTATTATTAATAATATTGAGGACCTCAGGGCTGATTCAACAGGAGGAAATGCATGGCAAGTACTTGTTTTAACTCTTCCCTCTGTTACCACATAGGTCCGAACACTGACAGAAGAAAAGGAGAAGAATGTGATGCAGATTCAGGAGCTTGAAGACAGTATTGCTCAGCTGCTCAGCAAAGCAGGTAGGACCAACTATTTTGAGCTTAAGGTGGGGTACCAGAAGACTAGAGGGGGGCTCTACCCATTCTCCTTATGTAAAAGTTTGGGCAACCAGATTTGTTACCCCAAAACTAGCAGAACAATTGGAAAGACTAATGTGCATGAGGAAACCTGACCTAGTGAACATTAAAAAGGCCCTTCACACCAGCACTCAAGAATACATTAACCTCTTTTTGTATCTACCTGAGGCAAACTTGCAGCTCCTGGTCCCAGTGAATCGCTCAGACTGGGAAGTAAAAATAACTCTGATATATCAGTGCCTGCTTAGCACTTAGCTCCCTCTGCTCCCCAATTCAGAAGGCTTTTAACAGGAATGCTGCAGCAAACTGATGGCTGCACTGTTGTGGCTTTCTCCTTTGTCTTGCTGCCAGAGGAAGGGTTGGATTATGCTGGCATCATCCCATCCTTTGGTACTGGGCCCAGCATATTAGATTAGGTGGGGAAAGCATGTTCACATAACAAGGGTTTTACCTTTCTAACTTATGTGTGCATGAGTGGAGCAGCTCTGACCAGCTGGTTGTGACTCCTCTTTCCCAGCAGCGAAATCCAAGGATAGTGAGCCTGCCCCACTGGCCGGACCCACAGAAGCTGAGCTGAGTCTGCAGGAGGAGGTCCAGAGATTGCAGAAAGAAAAGGAGGAGCTTCATGGACAGTACCAGGCTCAAGTTCGGGATAATGAGCAGCTGAGCCATCTCAACCGGGAGCAGGAGGAGCAACTGCTAGAGCTTGAGAAGACAGTGCAGCGTTACAGCGAGGAGTCTGTGGACAGACAGCAGATCCTGGAGAACATGCAGAGCGACAAGGCCACCATCAGTCGAGCTCTGAGCCAAAACAGGGAGCTGAAGGAGCAGCTGGCTGAGCTACAGAATGGATTTGTCAAGCTGGTATGTCTCTTGGTGCATCTTCTCCCATGATGCAATCATGCAGCAGCACATAGTGATAAGGGCCTGGCAGAAACATTGGCCTTATCTTGCCATCTGGTGCTTTGGTTATTGAACCTACAGTGTTAGATCGTACTGTGCTAGGAGACTTCTTGCCATCTCTCAAACTCTCTAGTAAGCTTTCAGTGGATTATCTAGTATCCCTGCTTGTGCCAAGGGGTTTCCTTCCCTCCCTTTCCCCAAACCTTAAGCTGCTTTTATTCCTTTTCCTCCATCTCTGTTGTGTTTTTCTGTCCCCCTATTTGCATGCATGTTGCCTGTGAAGGGGTTCTTCCCAGCTGCTCTCATCTCTTCCACTGCCTTTTTGCCCTTCTCAATCCTGAATCCTTTTTCTGGCTTTTTGCCTACATTGCAGCTGTCTGAACTCCTCAGCCTGTCTTTCAGGGTTATACATAGAGGTGTAGGTGGGGGCACAACTGCTTTCATTTCCTCCTGTTGCTCCTTCAGCTATCTGCTCACTTTAGCTGTCTACAAGCTCATTGCTTTGTTTCCTAACCCTTATCATTTTGTGTGTTCTTAGGCTACCTGCATAATTGAAGGAGAGCAAGGCTATGCTATTTGCCAAGACCTCATTCTTTTGTGACACCTTTCCTTTACTGATCCCCAGTCCATCATTCCCACACAGGTTTTTTCTAAACTTTAATCACCTGTTAGTTTTTGTCTGCAGGTGAAATGCAGCCACTGAAACACTCCTTGATTTCATGTTCTATCAGGACAATGTGACCCATTGCCTTGGCTTGCAGAGTACAGTGTAAGAGTTCTTGATGTTAATTTGGGCCTGTCTCATATAGTGGTTATGCATTTTTGCAGACAAATGAGAACATGGAGGTGACGAGTGCCCTGCAGTCTGAGCAGCATGTAAAAAAGGAGCTGGCCAAGAAGATTGGGCAGCTGCAGGAAAAACTGGCTGAGGTCAAGGAGACGGTATGCGCAGGGTGTCTGGGCAACGGGGTGCTACCACACCAGTGTGTGATATAGAAGGGCTGACAACTTACAAGCTCTACTGTAAGATTGATGTAGTAAGGAACAAATGCAGAGATAGTCCCCACAGTTTACCTTGTCTAAATCCTACTGTGGAGATCTGGCATTTTGCGGGCAGGTGGTGTTTAGTAGAGTGAAATGTCCCTTGTTGATTTGAGGATTGATACTGACAGTTCTTTTTGGATCCAGCTATATATATGGCAGGAGTTGGGTGTATTGTCAATCATTACTTCTGTCATGAAAATCGGAACTTCTTATTCTCTGTGATAAAAAGGAAGGTGGTGTTATATGAGTGGTGCCCAGTAGGAATGAGGGTATGGACCAACACTGTTTAGTGTGTTGTAAGAGCAGATACACAACCAGTTACTGCAAAGTACTGACGTGTCAGAGCACCCCTGCTTACCTCAGGGTTAGTTGTCGGTCTGTCCATACTCAGAGGCTTTGATCAGACAGTGGTACTTCCTGAGATAGCTGCTGCTCAGTATATGTGCATAGAATTATTGATAATGGGGTTGGATATTGCTGTGTGCCAGGTGGAGCTGAAAACCCAGGAGGCTCAAGGCCTGCAGGAGCAGCGGGATCAGTACTACAATCACTTGCAGCAATACACTGTGGCATACCAGCATCTGGCTGCTGAAAAGGAGGAGCTACACAAGCAGTTTTTGCTTCAGACACAGCTCATGGACCGGTTGCAGCATGAGGAAGTTCAGGGCAAAGTGACAGTGGAGATGCACCTTAAGGAGCTACAGCAGACCAAGGTAAGAGAGGAGGAGTTGGATAGGAAGCAGGACTCTGTCACTATAGTACTATACTAGAGAGGCATAGAAAGTGTTTGGGGCCAACACATGGAGCTTTCCTGTTGCTCATGAATTTGTAGTGAAACTTTCTGGTGCAGGTTTCAGGCGCATAGAGTCCATCCCACCTCTCCAGTGAGCTACTTCTTTCTTCCAGGATAGTCTGGCAGCTGCAGCCAAAGAAAACAAAGAGCTTCAGGCTCAAGTCAGTCAGTTAGCTGCAGAGCTGGATGGCAAAATGTTGCTTCGAGTGGAAGGTGAGTAAATACAGTTGATCTTTTTCTCCAGCTAAAAAGCTGATGTGGGCTGAACAGTCTGGTGCATTGTAACTCCTTGGTCTGTGTCCCTTGTCTTACAGGAGATGGGGTGGAGAGTGAAGAGACTGTGGAAGAAACTCAGAAACCTTCACTTGTGATCCCAGAGAATTTTGAAAGCCATGAAGAAATGGTGAGTTTACAATGTGCAGCAAAGCTGCTTTCTTCCAACTGTGTATGAATCTCAGTGTGGTGGGCCTGTCAAGTAACCCTCAGTGGGGGACCAGCAAGTACATAAAATGTCAGATCTGATAACAAGGCACCAGCCCGTGTATATAGCAAGGGACATAATCAAAGCTGTGTCCCCTTGGCAGCAAACTCTCTAGGCTCTGCAGCACTGTTGCATGGCAGATTGGAAATCCTTTGAAAGCTTTGCTTAGTTTAAAAAGGATAAAATATTTAATAAGAGCCTTGTCAGCACTGTGGTTCTTGTGGTGTTTATTTTGATATTCTTTATCTTGGGAGGCAGCCTGGGTTGGGATTACCATGACTAGTCGCTGGATATCTCTGGGAGAGCAGTAATCAAAATTGTGTTTACAAAGAAGTGGTTCTGGCAGCTGCAGAGAGCTGCTGCCGTTTGGACAGCCCTGTTGTTAGCTATGAGGTCCAGGACCAAAACTGAAAAGGAAAACTGAGATTAAAAACCAAAACAAAACAAAAAACCCTTAATGTCCCTCACAGAGTTCTGCAGTTACAGAACTGTGGCATGCACAGGACTCTTGGCAAAAGCTAATGCAGAGGACTCTCAGTAAAGCCCCTCCTGATTCCTAACTCTGAATAAAACACTTGTGGAGGGGTGGATCAGTCAGTTTCTTTGCACTTTCTCCATATGCAAAATGGGGATCATTCTTAGGGTTCTGAGGTAATTGATTAGCAACACTGCATAAGTGAAAAGCACTCAAGTGCAATGTCTGGTATTGCTTCTTAGGTCACTTTCTTGGTGTCCACTATGTCCCAAGTGGAGAGAGAGCGAGAAGAAATGAGACAGCAGCTGAGTGCACAGAAACAACAATGCCGAGGCCTCCTGCAGCAAATAGTAGTTCTTAGGCAGGAGCAGCAACATACTGCTACATTGGGTGGAGGTAAAGCTACTTGTGCTGTGTTGAGGGGAGTGGGAAGGAAAAAGCGCTTGATGGCCATGCTAGATGGTGCCTTTTGCAGAGTGAACTGGACTTCATTGTGCTTCCTCGTATAGTTCCTCCTGAATCTGTTTGTTTCTTTTCCAGGTTCCACTACAGATGTTGTCCCAGTGGAGGTTCATGAGGCCTTAAAAACTGCCATGGAGAAACTACAGGTGAGCATCTGACACCATCCCCTGCTCTCTGCTGAGTTCTGGTGCTTGCTGTCCAGTCCATGTATAGAGGACACAGTTGAGATTGCCCTGGAATAAATGACAGGGTTCTGGTTTCTGTGACCTACGTTGCCAGGTTTCCTGTGACAAACCTGTCGCTTGCTTCTGCTTTCTAGCTTTTGGATGCTTCTTTTGTCCTGGTAAAACTGCTGCAGTTGTTATTCTGCAAAGGGCATGGGGCCAGCTTTGCTTCTTGATCTCTTCCTGAAGCAGTAGCTGGCAGGCAGGTTTAAAAATGAGTCATCCCACAGAAATGAGGAAGAAAGGTGCCGCTAGGCTCCAAGATTGCTGAGCCTCTTAAGTGATTGGGAAAGTCCAGCATGGTGGGGAGAAATCAAAAGGATTCTTTATCCTTTTGGCTGCAAGGAGGGAGAAGTGTTTTGTCACATTTTCTTCAGCTCTGTCCTGTATATTCCCTTTCATCCACAAGCAGTCAGGTTTTCCTACAAGAGACGAGCAAGAAGGAAAGAACAGTATTGTTCCCTGCACTTAGTCTGATGGGATGGGGATTATCATTTTCTATACATATTCCTTGTACACTTATAGTTCAGAAGGCTGATACTAGTTGTGTATTCAGTCCCGTTTTACAGATGTGATGCATGAGAAGGCTGACCTGAAAGAGCGGTTGGAGGAGCTGGAGCATCGCTGTATACAGCTCTCTGGGGAAACAGACACCATTGGTAAGATCAGCCAGCACAAGAATGAGCTCAGTGAAGTCTGCACAGTGTACTAACATGTTGGTTCTCAGTTATGCAGTAAAACTACAGGTGTTTTTCTAACTGTTAATGGACCCTGAGAATTTCAGCTCCAGGCAGGATTTCTACTGCCAGGCCTCCAGCTGCATCCTAATGTTACCTAGCTGAGTCAGGTTTCCAGTTCAGTGTCCAGGCTGCTGCCAGCTGCACTGTAACGCCTTATTGTTTATTCGCCCACAATGTAAAGCTCAAGCAGAGAGAAATGTTATATGTTGTAACCCCTTTCTTAGTCGCCCTATGTTCCTTCTGTGTTCCAGGGGAATATATTGCATTGTACCAGAGTCAGAGGGCTATCCTCAAACAGCGGCATCGGGAGAAGGAGGAGTACATCAGCCGACTGGCTCAGGATAAGGAAGAGATGAAGGTAAAGGAAATTCTCTCAGGGTGAGAGTACTTGCGCCATGGGTAAGAAGCCATGGAGCATGTGTGGAGTGTGCAGGGGCGCACACTGATGGAGATGACATAGTAGCTGACGAAATGCAGGGCTCAGAAAGGACATACGCACAACAAACATTTCCACAGGACTCTGCCTAGCAGACAATTCTGTCCTACAGGAGCACGAGCTAGTAGCATCTCCAAAGGAGATTGTTGTACTATGCCAGATTCACTACTAGCTTTGGGATAAAGGAAAGTACAGTAAATTGACTTGGAAAGCATTTGAAACCAGAAGTCTTTGCATCTGCTAAGGTGCCTGCACTTAGTGAGGTTCAAACCTACCAATTTTAATAAGCATTTTTTTTAGAACTCTGGAGATGTCTCTGGAGATCTGGAACCTGCCATTCTGAGTATGTTCTAGTTTGTCTGCAACTGAGGTCAGTTAAGTTGGATACTGGCAGTTTCCTCTAGAGTCAGTGAGGGCTGTGCGTTACCTGTGGCACAGGACATGTGAAGTTCATGGCCTTTCCTTTCTTTATAACTTGCTGCAGAATAAGTTATTGGAGCTCCAGGAGTTGGTGATGCGTCTGGTTGGAGAGAGAAATGAATGGTACAGCAAGTACATGGCAGCTGCTCAGAACCCAGACCTGCTGGCAAATCAAATTGAAAGCGCCGTTCCATTGGAGAGGCGCATTGAACTTAATGCTACTGATGGAGAAGGTGAGCAATAGCCTGCACACTCATCAGTGGCTTCTGCTTGCTAGCAGGGTGAACCTGAGGGCTAGGTGTTTGGATGGGAATAGTAATCTGTTCACCTGGTCTCTTCACAGGATTGCGAGAGGTGAATTTAACAGATGAACCAGAACAGGAAGCTGCAGTTCTTCAAGCCAACTCATCCCCTAGCGACAGCAAAGCCCCACAGCCCAGCCCAGAGGACCCCACTGCAAAGCAGATTATGCAGCTTCTGAGAGAGATCCAAAACCCTCAAGAAAGGCTGGGCTCCCTGTTGGAAAACCCATGTATTCCCTTCTTCTATCGTGCTGATGAGAACGATGAGGTCAAAATCATGGTGGTTTAAATGGCACCAGGAACCTGACTTGCAACAATTTTCTGTGAGCCTGTAAGGACCCAAGCTGCATAGTACTTGCCCTGTATCTCTAACCAGTGCTACCGGTCAGGGTAGATGTTCTCTTTAAAGACATGGGGAAAGAGGGATTGCATCAGGTGGAGCTCTAGCACCAGACTTCATCTTCTTTCCCTTTCCTCCTGTTACTTGGTGCACTCTTGAGTGCAGACTTTGACTTGAACTAATCATGAGGCAGTCACTACCACCACCACAGGTGGGTCATATGAAAGTGGGGGGACTTCATGATCTTGAACAGAGGAACTTGATCACTTGCTTCCTGCAGCCCCATCTCCAGAAAGAAACCTCTACTGTTGGTGGCCAACTTCTTAGCAATGATTGGCTAGTGACGCTATTTTACTAGTTAAGATTGCAACCTGTCCATCCCCTTCTAAAAGGTTCCCAAAATAATTCCCTCCTTCTGGTAAGAAACTCTTTGGATTCAGAATAATTATTTCTATAGTTCATACCACAGATCTTAAACCTCCCATTTGTCTCTATAAGCTGCATCCTACCCTGTATTTGAAACCAGCCTTGTCAATTGTACAGCCAAAAGATACAGGCTCCCTGCCTAGGCAGCATTACATTTAAAGAAAATTGTTCTGATTACATAGAAATGGCCTGGCATTGCTTTGAGTCCTCGAGGGATGGTTGCTCGGTTATTTGCTATGAACAGGTAACTTGTGGATGATTGGAGGTGGGGTAGGAATGCAATTGCACTTTGAAGGATGATGTTTCACTGTATACATGTTGAAAGGTTTTATTTATTTAAAAAATGGGAGAAATAAGTAAATGGAAACCACTTAATATATGTGCTTTGTTACAAATTTCTGGACCCTGGGGATTTCCCCTTTTCTTAGATCTCCTTTACTCCTTGTGTTGGCAAGGCTTACACTACCAGAGTGCATTAGCGGTACTCTGGGCTGACATTTAAAGTCTGTTTCTCTGTTCCCCACCCTTAAGTTCTTGGGATATATGCAGGAGAAAGGACTGTCACCTGGAAATGCTTAAAGTTGCAAGTGCACTGTGATAAATACTTTGAGGCTGAAAATACTGTGTTAATGAATGCAGGGCCCAAACACTGAGTTACTGTCTCCATCTGCTGGCAAAAAGGAATTATACCAGAACATCCAGTGTTTGACAAATACATACGGGTTTAAATCTAATACTTGCTGCTTCCTCTTTGTGGACTTAGCAATCCCGACAGTGAGTAACTAGGAATTACCCAAGATATGTATGGTTTTTTAAAGAGACCTAACTTATTTAAACCTCAGTGATGCAGTACAAATCCAAAGTTGGTGACCTAGAAGCATGTACCTGCTCCACTTTTAGTAACTCTGGCGGGAAGTGAAAAGCAGCAGCAAACAAGGCTCTGAGGCTTGTGGGTTCTCTTTACTTACTATTCTGCAGATCATTTCTATAATCAGTTTGCTAATTGTAGTCAACTCTTTTTTTTTTTT